AGCCCTATCAGCATCATTAACTGACTGACTTTGGGCAGGTACCTTCATCCTTATGGGCCTCAGTTTCTTCATCTGTAAAATGAGGCAGTTGTACCAGATGACCTCTGAGGTCCCTATTAGCATTAAATCTATGATCCCATGATCCCCTGGAATTAAGTGCTGTAGCTTCTTAACTATTGAAGTTGTCTTAAAATGTTTTGTTCCAGGGGCAACTAGGTGGTGCAGTGGATAGAGCATCAGCCCTGAAGTCAGGAGGACCTGAGTTCAAATTCGGCCTCAGACCAACCGCTTAACACTTACTAGCTGTGTGACCCTGGGCAAGTCACTTAACCCCAATTGCCAAAAAAGAAAAAAAATTTAAAAAAAAATGTCTCATTCCCTGTCACTAGAGGTTTTTAAGAAGAGGCTGGATGACCAATAGTTGCAGACCCTTTAGAGGGGTTTTCTGCTCAGGTATGGGTTGAACTAGGCAGCCTCTAAGGTCTCTCTTAACTCTGGGATTCTGTGATACATTTCTGGGATTCTAATGAATGGTTGTTGTGTCAGAGTAGGGGAGCTTGGGGGTGATATAGTGGAAAGAATATGGCCTTGGAGTCAGGTGATAGGTTCAGGCACTTATTACTTCCATGTGACTTTGAGCAAGAGACTCACTTTTCTAAGCCTGTGTGAAATATGGGAGTTGGATAAATCATCTTTTAAATTTCTTCCAGCTCTTGGTTCTGTTATTTTTGGCTTTCTTGTTTTCTCTAGCTCCCAGTTACCAAGGCAAAGCTCTAGAGATGCATGGGTGAGGCTCAGTGCCAGTGGTGGCAAAGAGAAGGATGATTTCCCCGCCCTCCCCCCAACCCCTCTTTGTGTGTTGGAGGGAAAAGAGAAAAAAAGGGCCGTGTCTCAAATCCTGGGCATTGTCTGGCTTCTTCTGTTGTCTGATATTCTCCTAGGCAGCCATCTGCTGGGTGTTTCCCCTTTCTGAGTGTCTGACACAGACCCCTTTCTCATACAAAGAACAATTCTAATGAGCTCTTTTCTTTAAAAGCCCGAGGGGCCTGTAGACACTGGCAGTTAGCGTGATTACAGCCTTTGGACTAATTAGAACCACTTCAAAAAGGAAGCCACCTCCCCAACCAAAAGCCCTTTCCCATGCTGACTGACCTTGCGTGTTGTGAAATCAAGGTCCAGTATAGACTGGAAGCAAGCATTGGAGGGGCTGTGGAAAAACAGATGCACCAATACAACGCCTCTGGCACCAATGAAGCATGGTGGTGTGAAATGAGGCAGACACTGGCTAATGCATTGATTTCTACTTCACTATAATTTTTTGTGACAAAGGAGGGTTCTATCAGGGTTGGAGATGAGTCATTCGGAGTAATAATAGCTAACATTTATATAACTCTTTAAGGTTTGCAAAGCACTTTACAAGGGGCAGCTAGGTGGTACAATGCATAGAGCCCTGGCCCTGGAGTCAGGGGGACCTGAGTTCAAATATGGCCTCAGATGCTTGACATTGTGTGACCCTGGGCAAGCCACTTAACCCTGATTGCCTCACCAAAAAAAAAAAAAAGAGAGAGAGAGAAGAGAAAAAAAATTGTAGACAGCTAGGTGGAAAGAGTATCTGCCTTGGAGTCACAAGGGTCTGAGTTCAAATCCAATCTCAGATACTTACTTTCTTTTTTTGTTTATTTGTTTGTTTGTTTTGTTGACTAGGCAGCTGGGGTTAAGTGACTTGCCCAGAATCACATAGCTAGTAAGTATCGAGTGTCTGAGACCGAATTTGAACTCAGGTCCTCCTAACTCCAGGACTGGTGCTCTATTCACTGTGCCACCTAGCTGCCCCAGATACTTACTTTCTGTGTGACCCTGGGCAAGTCACTTAACCCCAGTTGCCTCAAAAAAAAAAAATTAATAATAAATAAATAAATAAAACCTCATTTAGGCTTCACAAAAACCCTGGGAGGCAGGTGTTATTATTATCCCCATTTTACAGATGAGGACCCTAAGGCTCACAGAGATTAAAAGACTTACCCGGAGTCACACAGCTAGCATCAGAAGCAGAATTTGAACCCAGGTGGTCCTGACTCTAGGTCTAGTATTCGATCTACTACGCCACGTAGCTGCCTACAGAGGCATAACAATGGTGTAAAAATAGAGCATCAGTAAGACATTTAAAAAATAAATCGAAAAGAACTAGCGAGGGGAACAAACTATGAAGTATTGGCCAGATCGTTAACAGCCCTTTGCAATATGAATCCTCCAGTGCATTCCCTGATTTTTTTTTTTTACTAGAGGGGCTAAATTTCCCTATTGTCATCACATGACATTTCTCCAGTGTTTTAAGAAAAAGTGCTTCCCTCCCCAAAGTCCTGAGAGGCGAGGAGTCTGCATGATGGGACAGCAGAACTCTCTTAGTTCAGGTTTTATTTTGGGCCAAAATGAAGAACTCCTAAGTCATTGGACATTGAACAAAAGGAGGATGACTTCGTCCTCGCCCCAGAGATCTGCTGGCTGTAGTGCGAGGCGGCTAGAGCCTGCTGATCTCCGCAAGGCTGTGCAGCAGTGATGGGCAGACTGGCGGTCAGAGGAGGAGGTGACCTCACCTTCCAGACTGGGACTTCCAGATCTTCTAACTCCAAAGCCTGATGTTCTCTCTCTCCCAAGACCTCTCTGAAGTGAACGCAAAGCACATTCTCCTTGGCAATTTCATAGGCGAACTTATTTCTGGGAATTGATACTGTGATCCTACCTGGATCATCTCCCTCCACCTATCCAAATCCTAACTACCCTTAAGCTCAAGTCTTCCCTCTTCTCCGAAGTCTTTCCTTACCCCCCTTCTCCTGAACACTCATGGCACTTACCACCTACCTACCTTACGCGTTGGGCAGCTAGGTGGCACAGTGGATAGAGTGCCAAGTCTGGTGCTCTAAGGAACTGAGTTCCAATTCTTCCTTAGACATTTGCTAGCTGTGTGACCCTGGGCAAGTCACTTAACCCTTTTTTACCTCAGTTTCATCATTTGTAAAAAATGAGCTGGAGAAAGAAATGGTATTTTTGCCAAGAAAACCCCAAATGGTGTCACAAAGAGGTAGACATGATTGAACAACAACCATAATCATTGGGCACTAAATATACGTATACTTACATACATACATACATACACACACACACACACACACACACCCATATATATATATATATACATACATACATACATACACACACACCTATGGCCCCACATATGTATAAACATATATATACTCAAAGTTCTTCAACTTTTCACTTCTGTGCATCATCTCTTCAACTAGATTGAGTTTGGAGGGGCAGGGATCTTGTTTAAAGACACACATTTATGGAGGCTAAAGCCTTCATAAAGTACTATCCTCACAATAACCCTTTCAGGTAGGTCATGGGGTCATAGATTTAGAGTTGAAAGGGATTATAGAAGTAATCCAATAATAATAATAATAACCAGCACTTGAAGGGTTATAAAGCCCTTAACAAATGTTACTTCATTTTATCCACACAACAACCCTGACAGTTAGGCATTTTTATTGTCCCCATTTTACAGATGAGGAAATAGAGGTACAGAAAAGGTAATTACCCAGAATCCCACAACTGGGTAAGTGTCTGACGCCAGATCTGAACTGAGGTCTTCCTAACTCCCACTCCCAGGCTCTAACCATTGAACCACCTAGATGCCTCTCATTTTCTAAGCCTCTCATTTTACAGATGGAGAAACTGATTCACAGAGGAGGTGACCCTTGCCTAGGGTCACACAGAAAATAAGTGGCAGAAGTAGAGTTGGGACTAAGGTCCTTTGACTCCAAGTCCAACATTCTCTCTATCATACCAAGCTGCAGGGCACATATTATTATCATTCATATTTTACGGATGGCTAAATCGAGCTTCCAAAGGGTTAAGTGACTTGGCCAAGGTCACATAGTTAATGTGTTAAAGAGCCCCATCATTCTGTTCTTCCTACTACTGATGTACATGGCCTCTTTTCATCCCTCCAGTAACTCCATCAGAGCTTTCCTTATAGGAAGTGCTTAATGTGTGCTGAATGGATGATGGGATGCAGTGAATAAAGAGAGTTGGATTTAGAATCAGATTCAGGTGATATGGACTCACCTCCCAGTTCTGCCGCTTACTATCTGTGAATCTGGACAAATTCTTTCTGCTTTCTGCTGTTCGGTTGTTTCAGTTGTGTCTGACTCTGTGATCCCATTTGGAATTTCTTGGCAAAGATATTGGAGTGGTTTGCCATTTCCTTCTCCAGTTCATTTTACAGATGGGGGAAACTGAGGCAAACAGGGCTAAGTGACCTTTTCAGAGTCAAACATCTAGTAAGTGTCTGAGGCTGGATTTGAACTCAGGAAGATGAGTCTTCCTGACTCCAGGCCTGGGCCTCTATCCACTGCGCCACCTAGCTGCCCCCTTCTCCTCTCTAGGCCTCTATTTTCTCATCTGTGAAATCCAGAGCTTGGATCAGATGACCTTCAAGGTCTCTTGTAGCTCTAAAGGTTAATGAACTCAGTCTCCTAGCACAGAGTTTGAAGGCATGCTTCTCTGTCCAGCATTTGTCCCTGTGTCCTGGTAGTCCAGCATCAATGGGGACCAGGTCTCTTCCAGGTTAGAAGGACATGGGACCCTTCAATTCTTGACAAATCTCCATTTCCTAGGCTAGGTCTATACTTGCTCATGTGGGAAAATAACCCTGTGCCCACTCACAGGGGATGATTGTGTATTAATGGGTTAATAGATATGTCAGGGCATGTGGGGTTGAAAAGGCAGGGGTGATGTTTATTGTGATGTAGGGTCTCTCAGATAGGCCTATAAAAAGGGGCAAGTTTTGGCTTTGCTCTTGGCCTGGTGAGTGGGAGAATCCCACGCTCATAAATCGTATGAAACAATTTTCCCTTCCCTTTTATGTTGTCCGAGCCCCCTCCCAGGACACATAAAAGGGAGGGATGGTTATTGGGCAGGTCACAAGTCACATTGCCCTCTCTCCTGATTGCCTTTTTCTCAGGAACTTTCAGCTAAGGAGACATCATGGCCTACCAGTCTTCCCACATCAGTTGGAACAGTGGGACCAAGAACTTCAGTTCTTGCTCAGCTGCGGTGCCGAGGCTGGGAGCCCGGCCGAGTGTCACTACCCTCTCCTACCAAGGGGGAAGCCCTGGGGGTCTGGGCTACAGGAAACTTGGGGGCTTTAGCAGCCGGAGCTTGGGAGTTGTGGGGAAACCTCAAATTTCTGTAGGCTATGGACGTCCTCCACGCAGTGGGGGCAGCTTTGGCTATCGAGTTGGGGGCCTGTGTGGACCCAGTCCTCCCTCTATCACGACTGTTACTGTCAATGAGAGCCTTCTGACCCCACTCAACCTGGACATTGACCCCAATGCCCAGTGTGTGAAGCAAGAGGAGAAAGAGCAGATCAAGTGTCTTAACAACAAATTTGCTGCCTTCATTGATAAGGTGAGTCTGGGGTCTGGGATCACCTGGGAGCCGGGAGGATGGACACAGGAGAGCTCATGCATTGACTCTCTCTAATATTCCATCTTCTCTCATTTGGCACTGCCATCTCTTCAAACTTAATTTCTCTATGGAGTTGATCATTATCCCCATTCATACTCTTAAAGAAAACATGGGGGTATGAGGAAAGAAAGACCTTTAATGCAAAAACACTTAATGTCTTTCTCCATTCCTGTGTCATGAGACACCAGACAATCGATGGTGGGAGGAGCAAGATAGATAACTCTATCCAGACTGATACCATCCATCTAAGAAGTGATGCTGTAAACCTAAGCGTTCATTCGTGCGTTCATTCATTCATTCAACAAACGTTTATTAAGCCTGTCATGTACAATACTCTTTTGAGAAAATCTAAAGTTTGAGCTGGCCTCTGGCACCAATATGCCTCCAGTCCAGTAGGGGAGATCAGGAATGCAAACAAACAGCTATAATGTAAAACTGAACATAACCAATATGTGAGAGGTAGGAAATTACGCTCTGAGAAGCAGGGAGGTGGTGCAAGCCAGCTTTCCATCACCTCCTAAGCAGAGTCCTTGGAAGGTTATTTTAGTATTTGTCATGAGGGATTTTGAATTCCTCTGTTACACAAGAGCCCGAGAAGTGAAGAGATCCAAAGCCTTCTGTTTTCCAGTTTTAAGAGAGGACACAGCTGGTTCCAGGATCTTTTCAGGAAGGGAGCTCTGGAAGGAAAGAAAGGTTTAGGAAAGAAGATGACCTGCAGAGAAGCTATATCCTGATCCTACTGGACACTATTAAGGGTCCTCAATCTCTTGTGTCAGCTAGGGTCATCCTGTTTTAGAATTAGAGAGAACTTAGAAAGAAACCAAGAAAACCAAGGCCCAAAGAGAGAAAATGTTTCATCTAATTTTACCTAAGGTCACACAGGTAGCAGGTTTAAGAGTCAGAATTCAAACCCAAGTCCTCTAATATTTTTTCCACTACTATGTAAGCCCCGCCCCCCTTCTCAGCTAGGGTGCAAACAGTTAGCCCTATACAGTTAAAAATTCATTTATTGTTTGGGAATTATCCACGGAGTTGAATCCAAAACTGACTTTCCTTATCCCTTGTTTTGAAAAAGCATCCATACATTCACAAGCACAGTTTTCTAGTCCTAGAGTGCATCCCTTACTCATCTCCACATGTTGGAATCCATCTCTTTCTTCAAGGCTCAGCTTAGATGACATCTCCTCTATAAAGCCTTCCTTGATTCTTAGGAGCATGGATTTAGAATGAAAAGGAACTTCTTAAGCCATTTACTCTAACTCCTTCATTGTAGAGATGAGAAAATGGGGCCCCCATAGAGGCAACATGACTTTCCCAAAGACACACAGGCAGTTAAGTATCAGAGGCATAATGTCCCTAGTTGAAAGTGCTGTCTCTCTAGAGCACCTTGCCTGGATTTCTCCTTTCTCCCATCGTGCTCTATCTTGCAGCATGCTAATTTGAGAGCATGCTGTATTTCCCTGAAGAGCTATTCAGTTACAGAGCTATGAACCCTTGAGTAAAGCAGGGAAAGGAACAAACATTTATTAAGTACCTACTATGTACCAGGCAATCAGCACCTACTATATGCCAGGCAATTAGCCCCTATTATGAGCCAAGTAATTGGCACCTACTGTGCTAAGAACTTCACATATACTTCATAGTCAGAGTGAGTTTGGATCCTGGATGTGCTACTTATTACCTTCCTAGAAATCATCTTAACTCCTCTGGGCTTTAGTTTCTGCATCTGTAAAATGAAGGGGTTGTATTAGATGACTTCTAGGGTCCCTTCTAATTTTAAATCTATAACGTACTGATCTACTCAGCTTTTGTAGCACATCCTATGATTTGGTGTTGGAGGCAACAGTTTTTAACCTTTCCATTCTATTGTGTTGAGGCTAAACGTGAGTTTTCCACTCCTTATCATTGATGAACATTTAGTCAAGGAAAAGAAGGGATTTTCTTGGTTGGACTTTCTTAGGAAAATTCAATTCCAGTGCTCACTGCTAAGAAATAAGGCTATCACAGTGGAAATGACATAGTTCTTGTTCTGTGGAGCCTATAATCTAATCTAATCTAATTAAAGCCATGGCAGGGTAGGGGTAGGGGAGCCCAACATTCTTCTTGTAGCCTTCCAACTACAAGAAGAATCATAGTTTGCTTTGCCTGTGTACAAAAGAGGAGCTAGTGGTGAACCAAGGAAACTTGGTTCATCCATCCTCAGGGTGGCAGTGGGGCAAGAGTCCAGGGAGTAGGCCAGTTTCTAGAAATCTGAATATTATAGTTAGAAAGGTCCTTAGAGATCATCTAGGCCAAAATCTCTCATTTTACAGATACAGAAACTGAAAATCAGGGCGTTAAGGTGGCCGGGCTGAAATAATTGACTACAGGTTCTCCCATGTTGTCTTTTTCTCTGGTGCTACAGGTCCGGTTCTTGGAGCAGCAGAACAAGCTGCTGGAGACCAAATGGAACTTCTACCAGAACCAACGATGCTATCAGAGCAACATGGAGCCCCTGTTCAATGGCTACATTGATACCCTGAAGCGGGAGCTGGAGGGCGTTGAGACAGACAGTGGACGTCTGTCCTCTGAGCTCAACCACACGCAAGAGGTGTTGGAGGGCTACAAGAAGAAGTGAGTCTCAGGTTGGGAAGGAGCCAAGAGGCTTTCATGAAACATGAATCAGGCTGAGTCCATAAATAGTACAAGGGGAATGTGAAGATCCAAGTCATTGACTCCAAATCACAACCTTCTGATCTCCATGGTGTTTAGCCTGAGTCTATATAAGACAAAGGGGGGTCCACAAGTTTGCCTCCCCCTCCCCCCACATCCCAAGCTCCATTATTCATAGAGCCCTGTTTTGAGCATTTGGGAAAAATCCAGAAGGAGAAGGATACATAATCCCTGTCTTTGGGGAGCTCCTAGTCAGAGAGAGGATATTGCACCTGAAGCTACAAACAATGTAGATTGATACTATAGAGACTAATAGAAAGAAAGGAGAATCCTTAGTAGTAGGAATTGCATATGTTAGTGCTGAAGGATACTTAATACTTAACTATGGAAGGTTGACTTACTTGATTAAACAAGTGGAGTCAATCAATGAAAAATTCCAAAGGAAAGTGATTTGACAATGATCTAGTTAATTTAATCAATGCATATAAAAATGGATGGTTATTTCCTTCCTTACCTCTTTCTCACCTGTCTTCCCTTCCTTCCTCCCTTCCACACTCCCTTCCTTTTCTCCCTCTTTCCTTCCTTCTTTCCCTCCTTTCCTCCCCTCCTTCCTCCTTCCCTCCCTTCCTCCCTCCCTTTTTCTCTTCTTCCTTCCATCCTTCCTCAGATCTTCTTGACATCAGGCCCAGCAAAATATCCATCATGCCACCTAACTGTTTTAGATAGCTTGGAGACTGAGTATTTGATATTGTTATATCTAAACATCATTCTTAAATTTTTATGGGTTGATGTTATGACTAGAAAATTGTGGATAATAGTTTGGTTTGTTTTTTCTCTGCATTCTCCAGGATATTTTGAGGTTAGTATGGGGATTTGTCATTTCATGAAAGATAGTGAGTTTATAAAGCATAATTCTTGCCATCAAGTCATTTCTTACTAGGTATAGTTGTTGCTGTTTTTTGAGTTGTTTCAATTGTATCTGACTCTTTATGACCCCATTTGGGTTTTCTTGGCAAAGATACTGGAATGGTTTGCATTTCCTTCTCCAGATCATTTTACAGAAGAAGGAATTGAGGCAAACAAGGTTAAGTGAGTTGCCCAGGGTCACACAGCTACTAAGTGTCTAAGGACAGATTTGAATTCATGAAGATGAGTCTTCCTGACTTCAGGCCCAGCACTCTATCTACTGTGCCACCTAGCTGTCCATACTAGGTATTATTAGGTAGCTTGCTAGTATTTTTTCAGCCTGCAATGATATGTTACACAGTTTCTACCATGTCTTTGCATAATTTATATTGATTGATAAGTCCAGGTTCTTTAAAATTAACCTTTGTATAATTTTTGGAGAAGACAAAATTGTTGCCCCTATAAAGCCATCCACTTCCACAAACAATTCTGCATGATTCAGCCATTCATTCTATGCTTCTTTGTCAATACACTGTGGGCTGAGTTCATGAAGATGTCACCCACGGGGAGCCTTTTGATTCTATTCTTGGATCTTGGTTGTTTATTGGACTCTTGCCAAAGGTAAAATACATTCAATTACGTGGGATAAATTCAAAGATGTGTATCTGTGTCAGCCTTTATTATTTTTCAATGAAATAATGTCTACTTGTTACAAAAGTATTTCTGTAGGTTTTTGTGTTTACCAATCCTCTCTTCTTTTCACTTAGGTAGTATTATTCTATGGCCATCTTAGGATAATGGGCCCTGTGTTTCATTAATATTGTATAGCTTTTTGTGAAGATACTTTTCAAATATGTTACAGTCCATTTCACATTTCTGCAAGTAAACATTAAGACTAGTATTATACAGAAGTTGATTGCTTTAAAATTATTTGTTTTTAAATTGTTTTTTAAATTGAGCTCTGCTTTCAGGGTGCCAGCATGTCTCTTAACATATTAAACCATAGCTTTCTCCTTGATAACTTTATACTTGTTATGTCCTGCCTAACAGGGAACAAGGTATTTATAGATATCTTTCTCCATCAGTTTAATACTTCAGTCTCCAAATTTTCTAGTCTTATATTAAGACTTTTACATTTATTGAGTCCAGGATATCGTTAAAGAGTTTCGATGCGATGAAGTGACTGTTTAATATGTTTTGCAGTGGAGCCATGTAACTTGATGCCATTCATGTGCATCTACTGATTAATAACACATTTTGGTTGTAGTCCTCTAATTTGAGAGTCAGATTTAGAAAGATGATGATGGACTTAAGCATAGGCAAAATCATAATGAACTTAAACTGTCTTACTAAAGGAATGCTACATTTTATTTATTTTAATTAATTTTTTTTCAGGTCTACATTCTTTTCTATCCATTTCTCTTTCCCCCAATCAAGAAAGCAAACAACAACAACAGCAAAAGTCCTATTATAAACATGTATAGTCAGTCAAAATAAATTCTCAAACTGGCCATGTCTGTACACACATGTAGAAACACACACATATACACACATGTATGCATATGTATGTATCTATGTATGACATACATATATGTTTATATCTATTTTATGTACATCTAGTTTAAATCTAGTTTATATAGATGTCTATATATAGATCTTATATGTACATGTTTTATATATATATCTCAATCTGTTATTTGATCTTGACATTATTGTATTAGTGACATATTTTAAATAGAAAACAGTTTTCCATGTGGATCTCAAATTCTCTAGAATTCACACTCTGCTTAAGTCTATTTTATAAATTTGTGCCACATGAATAAGCCATGAGTGTGAAACAAGGTCAAAGGTTTGTGATAATCAAGAAAGACAGTATAAATGTTATGGTGCCTTGGGGCAGGTGTTCATTAATTACTAAGTACTATAAATAATAAGTTGTTCTTTACACACACACAGGGCTTTGAGGCACACCTTTTTTGTTTCTCGAACAATTAAATAATTTTTTGCATATATGTGTATATATATTTATATATATTTTAGTGACAAGCTGTGAATGCTTTATGTAAAGTATATAACACACAACTGACTATTTTCGGTGGGTCTTTCAATGTTCTCATCTAATGCCTTTTGTTAAGAAAGATAAGAGCAGGCATGCATCTGAGAGTAAGCTGATAAAATGGCGTGCTGGTAATTCATGGACCACTGTGAAGCATTTGAGATGACACATATGGATCTTAACTGCCCCTGCTACTTTAGAAGCTAGAGTTGCAGTTAACTCCCTTGATATAACTCTTCTCTGTCATTCATTATATTAATTGTGCTCAAGCTTTCTATTTCTCATTTGATCTAACTTGGGTTCTTATTGGACTTCTTGCAGCTATATAGATGACTAGAAATGTTCCACATAACTGTTATTATTGTCATTGTTATTATTAGGAATGGATCTCTGATCTCTCTTCACACTGAATACCTGCCACTATTCTGTAGTGTTTGATCTTAGAGGGTTGTTTGGGGTCCATTTAGAGGTTAAATGATTTGCCTCAGGTACACAGTTAATGCATTTTCAAAGGGATGACTTTAATCTAGGTCTTCCTGCTGCCAAGGTCAACACTCTATCCACTAGGCTATCTTGCTTTTCCAAGAGATAAGTATAGGAGCTAGACCTGTGATTTCATTAGTATAGGGAAAACTTAGAGAAGGAAAGTCCCTCAACCAATGTGGATCAGTCTTAGAGAATTGTCTAGGGCACTGAGAGATTAAGTGACTTGTCCACAGTCATACATGTGGCCGGTGGTGGGACTTAAATCTAGGACTTTCTCCCTCCAATGCCAGTTCTCTATTCACTAGATCAGTGATGATAAAATCAAATAGAAACAGATCCCCACTGACACCATATTGACTTATAAAACCACAAATTAACATGATCTATGTTGTATTGTATTTTTATTTATTTTGTTAAAATTTTCTCAATTACATTTTAATTTGGTTTAGGCAACACTCAAGATTTTTGTGGGTCCCATATGGCCTTTAGGCCATTAGTTTGACCCCTCTGTACTAGACCACACTGCCTTCCCAGTTATTATTATTAATATGAAACTTTGTAGTGAAATTTCCTGGATTATTGCTAGTTTACCCTCACTTTGTATCATAAAGATGCATCCTGAGTATCTATCTCCCACATTGACTGGAACTTGGGGAAATGATACAGTAGAGAACTAATTCTGATAATTCAGAAAATCACTTTTTTTTGAGATTTGGTATCTTTGAGAATTGGTAGGGACCTTAGCCACCATCTTGCCCAACCCATACAACCAAGACCTCCTCACCACACCATACCCAATGAATGGTCATCAAGCCTGTGCCTGCAGACTTCCCAGGAAGGGGAAATCCACCATCCCTTTGGAAGCCTATTGTACTTTTTGACAGCTCAAATTGTTAGAAAATTTTTCTTGACATCAAACCTAAATCTCCCTCACTGCAACTTCATTCACTGCTCCTGGTTCTGCCTTCTGGGACAACATAAATATATAGTCTCTCCTCCATAAATACTTAAAAGGCAGCCATCATGTTCCCCCTGAGTCTTTTCTTTTCCAGGCTAAACATGACAGATACTCCACCTCATCCTCATGTGTTATGGGCTCAAGGCCCATATGTTATACTCCCATGGAGGTCTGAAAAGGGCAGAGTACAGGGAGACTATAGCCTGTACGGAGTACAGAGTACAATTACTGTCACCTCCTCTTAATATTTGTTGTTGTTTGGTTGTTTAATCATATCTGATTTTTTGTGGATCATTGCATGTCAATACTGTCCATAGAGTTTTCTTGAGAAAGGTACTGGACTGATTTGCCATTTCCTTCTCCAGTAGATTACGGCAAACAGAGTCCCATATTATTTTAGCTTTTGTGCCTGCTACATCACATTATTGATTCATTTTGAGCTTGTAGTACACTAAAACTCCCTAGATCTTTATTAGAACAAGTGCTATCTAACCATGTCTCTCCCTCAACCTTGTATTTGTGAAATTAACTTTTGGTCCCCAAGTATAAGACTTTACATTTATCCTTAGTGAATCTCTTTTTATTAGATTCCATCCAAATACCCTAGCCTGTTTCCCAAATTTCTCATCCATTTCTTTTTCCTGTTAGGAGGATCTGTGACCTATTCCAATGGCAAAATTACTTCTAGCCAATTTACCAAGACTTTTTGGATCCTGGACCCAAATATACCCAGTGTGTTAGCTATCTTACCTAACTTTGTGTGATCTGTAAATTTAATAAGCTCTCTATCTATGATATTCTGTCAATTCTCTTCCCCAATTAATTTTTCTCTTCTGCATCTCTTGCCATCAGTAGCCAGGATTGAAGAAAACACTACTGGTGACCCCGTGGATTTCATTTTCTTGCTTAAGACTTCATCACTGTGGCCGTCATTTTTATGTTATTTGTGGTTGCCAGAAGTGAAGAGTTATCATTCATTTTGATAAATCATAGAACATCCTCTATCATGTCTTAGATACATCCCTGGGAAGAAAACAGTGGTGAGAGCTCTGGGCTTGGAATCAGAAAGACCTGAGTTCAAATCTAGCCTCAGACACAAATGAGCTGTGTGACCTTGGGTAAATCCCTTAACCTCTGTCTGCCTCAATTTCCTCAGCTATAAAATGAGGACAATAACAGCACCTATCTCCCAGGATTGTTAGGATGATACAATGAAGTAATATTTGCAAAGTGCTTTGAAAACACTATGTAAGTGATAGCTATTATTATTACTATTACTGCTATTGCTATTACTGTTACTATTACTGCTATTACTGTTACTATTGTTGCTACTACTGTTACTATTACAATTCCTACTACTATTATTATCATCATCATCATAGCCATTGAATAGGTGCCTCTGTAACTCTAAGCAAAGAATCGTTAACTACTACACCTATTCTTCTCCTGCCCCTTAATTGATGTTCACTTATCTGATAACGTCTATGACTCTACTACATCAGTCTTTAGAAGACAAGCAGCTTCTCCCTCCTCAGGATATCTTCCCTCTTCAGGAAGAACTTTTTATCTATTTTTCAGCTCTGATTGAACAGCCTTCCTCTTCCTTTCCTTTCTTATCTTTGTAGTGTTTTTCCATTCTCTCCAATCCTGGCAAGGTCAAGCCTCCCTTCCTCTACCTCGGATCCTTTTTTTTTCCCTGTTGAAGCCTCATTCTTGTTTCCTTTGAGAACATGTTTATTTTTCGTAACAGTCGAGTGTGAAGAAATTTTTTTCAAGCTTCTAGATCAGTCTGAAGCGAGAACACAGATAACTTGATTGTGGTAGAAATATAGACTTGCAGGGCCAAATCTTTTAGTTGTTCTTTTTTTCTTTTTGAACTACATGCAAGTGTTTGTACCACAACCATAAGCCTTTGGATAAAACTTTTTATAGTCCATTGTCCTCTCCATAACTTGACATCCCCACTCAACTTCTTTTTCTTAGTCTTGACAATTCAATAATCAAATCCATCTCCCCTTCAGCCTTGTGTCAACCTATCTGCTTCTCCAATTTGTCCCATCCTCCAGCCCACTGAATCAATTTTACCCTTTAATTGTTCCACTTACCTTTTCTTCCTCATCTTGCCTTATCTTGCCAACTACCTTTTCCTTATTCTTCTTCAGTCTACCTCTCTAGGTTCCATTCTCTAATCCTGGATTCTCCTGATTTTTTTATATGTCCTTTTTGATTGTCCTTGATCTTTTCAACATAGAAATAGAATCTGGACCAGTATTTGAACCTGGAGCTTGTTCTTCAAATTTTCCTTAATTTGTCCCCAAGTTTGCTCAAAATTTCCTTTATAAAAGCAATCCCTGACCTAGTTACAAGATTTCCTTATTATTATTTAGCTCACTTTTTCTCTTTTCCTTATCCTTCTTTTATAACCTTATCATATAGAAACTCAAAGTAGAATTCCACGGAACGTGGAATTTTAGTTATGAACTAACTGCACCAGGGACATGGATCTTTGCTCTGGTCTCCTTTGGGGTGTCAGAGAAAGACAATAGATCCTTGTTTAGCTCATGTTTTTTTTTATTCCTGCCCCCACTGTCAGGGTTGGGAAAGATAAAATTCTAGAACTAAAGTTTTACAGAAATAGCCAAAATTACCCAAAATATCCACATCCTGTAGCTTTACTGTAGCGGACCTTACTATCAAACTGAGGAATGTGTGGGTTTCCATGCCAACTGGGGCTGAGTTAAACTCAAATTCACCTCTATGTTTTGTGAGAAAAGGCAGCAGATTTAGGGTGGGAAAATCTCTCCAGAACAGCATGAACCCATCTCTATTATGTCAGAGCATAAGGATTCAAGCCACCAGTGGTAGAACTGGGAATGAAGGACTTGAGAGAGAATAGGGTTTTTTGGAGTAAAGCTCCATTAGACCTGAAGGGCATCTTGGAGGCCATATATATTAATCCTCTCATTTCACAGAAGTGGATTGTGAGGCTCAGAGAGGGCTTATGACACCATTTAGCAGCTCCCAATCCGATCTTTTCACTAAATTCTTGGCATTTTAAATTTGTGACAATGGAAGCCAAGTGAGGCTTAATCTGTTCTTTGAATTTTGAGGATAGCCAGCCTGAAATCGTCCTAGGTTTTGTTTTTTTTTTTAATCCCTTTTTCTCTCTCTCCATAGGTATGAAGAGGAGGTAGGTCTCAGAGCTACAGCTGAAAATGAGTTTGTGGTCTTGAAGAAGGTGAGTGACTCTTTCTCCATTCAAAGTAAATTTCATTACAAAGAGAAATCTGAATACAAAGGTATGGTTTAGTTGTCACCCTACATACAGGGTTGTTAGCAGACATTTGAATTCACTGGTTAATATTATTTAGATTGACCCAGGGGGAAATTAATGAAACAGAGGTTATCTTGTCTCTTCCCTGGCTTCCATGTCTCCATTTAGTACCTCAGGCACTCTCTATTTATTGAGCATTGAAAATCATCTATTTCATTCTGAATGACTTTGTCACTTTGTGGGCAACTGAGTGAATGGCTGACGTTTTCCTCTCACTTTATTTTGAGTTTATGTAGATACAGGCCATCTAAGACAATACTAGTCCATTATCATAGCTCTGTGACCTATAGTCCTTACTAGTTGCCATCTAAGATATATATTGAAGAAATTGTAGTGGTCACCATTCTAAAATGTTGGACTAGCCCCTGAGACAAACTTAGAGTATAACCTCATGCCCTTAAATTATACACAAATTTAATCAAAACTAGCACCTACTTTAAGATATTGTCATGGAGGGGGCAGCTAGGTGGCGCAGTGGATAGAGCACTGGCCCTGAAGTCAGGAGGACTGAGTTCAAATCCATCCTCAGACCAAACACTTGACACTTACTAGCTGTGTAGCCCTGGGCAAGCCACTTAACCCCAACCGCCTAAAAAAAAAATTTAAAAAAATATTGTCATGGAACAGATAGATAGGCAGAGGGAAAGGCAGACAGTTGAGTCAAAACAGAGATCTCGGTTTGTTTGGTCAGAAACCTCTACTTGATCAGAGTGAGATGATGGTCTACACAACAGAATGGACTCACAGTGAGTTGTTCATTCTTTTTTTTTTTCAGCCAAAGACAAGGTTTATTAGAACATCCATCATATTGGGCAGACTCTTAAGGAGTCTGAACATTAGTGAGCTATTGGCTAGATTATAAGAATCTGAGCCTGAGTTGTTCATTCTTGAATGACAAATGAACTACTAATCAGATTTTCCAGGGAATCAAATTCTGGTGGTTCCATCAGTGACTTTTGTGCAGGGCAGTAACTATACCTCTCTAAGATGTGAGGAAAACAGCTTGCACTAACCAGCAAGCTCTCAAAATACTAGTGTAGTAAGGTCCTGCTTCTCACCATCAGTGACTCCGCTTGAGACAGGAGCTACAATGGGTACTGTTGAAAGCTGTTGAAAGTTCAGTTTGACCTGAGGGGATAACTGAGTAGAGAATGCATTTTGGGATGGGGCCAGCCTGGTGTAATGACTTGACTTTTAGTTCCAGCTCTGGCACTTTCCTTGGTTAATTAATTTCTCCTTGAAAAGCTTCTGGTTTCTAGTCTATTGAGTGAGAAGGTTAGACTCCACAATCTCTACAAAGGCTTTAGAGCTTAAGGAGATCTCAGATAGTCCAACCCTCTCATTGGATAGAGGAGAAAATTGAGACCTTTGGAGGCTGACTGACTGACCCAAGGTCAGACTGGTAATAAGTATGAGAGCAGGGGCCCAAGGCCAGGTTTCCTGACTCCAAGTCTAGTGCTTTTTCTACTATTCAATGCTTCTCTGAGTTCTCTTTCACTTCTAACACCATGTCATAAAAAAAGGGCAGTGAAATGGGACCAATAGGTGGAGAAGCCTTGAAGGTAGGACTTAGGAGCTTGAATAAAATATTCTAGGAAGAAAGGGTCCAAATTAACTACAAAGGATATACAAAGGAAGATGTTATCTGCATCCAAAGAAGAACTGATAAGTAGAAGTATGTATAGAATGATTTTACAAATATATGTATATATGTGTAGATATATGTATATGTGTGTGTATATGTCATATATGTATATGCATGTGTATGTGTTATATATGTATGTGCATGTATATATGTTTTATATATATATATATATATATATATATATATATATATAATGGTAGCCACCTCTGGGGGAGACAGGAAAGAAAAAAGGGAAAAAAAGAAATGTACATGATAACTTTATTATATATTTAAAAGGAATAGCAAGTTGTACATAACAGATTTGCTGTTTCATGTGCAATTATCTTTTTTAAAATTATGTTAGGAAATGCTTATTTTATTCCACAAATTAAAAATAAAATAAATAAAAAATTTTAAAAGGGTCTCTGTTTTTGAGCAGAGGAAGAACATTGTTCTTCATGGAAGATGACTCTAAGAGCATTGTTAAATGCATATGAGGGGAGAAAGAACAAGCAGTCTAGCAAGACGCCTGCTGCAGTCATCCGGGTGGGAGCTGATGAGGGGCTGGACTTGGGTGGTGGTTCTGGGAGTCAGAAGGAAAAGGTGAAAGCTAAGACACGTGGCAGAGAAAGAATCATGACTGCCTCTATCTTCTTTCTCCCAAGGATGTAGACGGTGCCTACGGCCGCAGGGCAGACCTGGAAGCAAATACTGAGACCCTAGAGGACGAAATTAGCTTCCTTCGAGCTCTGTATGAGGAGGTAAAACAAGTTTTGTATCAAGAGGGACAAGAAAGAGGAGCCCAGTGAAGGAATGATAAGCCCTGTGGGTCCCTGTTTTATAGGCAGTTGTAGAACCTAACTCATCCAAGGCCTTAACATTCCTTGCCAATGGAAAGTCCTCATTTAGGTCTCACTTGAATCCCCTTTGTTACATCCACAGCACGTTTTTGTGGTTTTTTCTTCATACACATGTGCAATGGCTTGTCTCCTTTGATCGTTAGGATAATCTTGAATGCTGGCATTAAGGTTACATCTACACAGCACAATGTATCTCCATCACAGGAGGACATGGACTTTTAGCAGTTATTTTATTCATTCTTGGAGTAGAAACAAACAAAATAGCAAATTCTGGACCTCAAATCTAGTCATTGGCTGATTCAGCAGGCCAGCTGCAGAGAGCCAACGTGAATCATCCAAGCCTCAGGGGAGGATGCTTCAATTGGACTGTCTGCTTGGACCAGAAATCAAATTTTTATCTAATCTCCACTTAGCTCTAGGCCATGGGAATACGACCAGGTAACTCCTTAGCCAGCTCTTCCTAAAGTCATCTGACATTTTAAGGTTTATTCCCCAAAGCTCAGGGTTTGGTGCTTGTCTTTTGAGCTCTGTCTCATCATTTCATCAGATGAAAGTTTAACAATTGAGAAAAGGATGGGAGGGAACTTCCAGCCAAGAGTTACGGCCATCCCCTCTTGTAGGAGATTCGGATGGTCCAGTCACACATCTCAGACACCTCGGTCGTGGTGAAGATGGACAACAGCCGGGAGCTCAACATGGACTCAGTTGTTGCTGAGATCAAGGCTCAGTATGACGACATCGCCAGCCGTAGGCGGGCAGAGGCCGAGTCTTGGTACCAAACCAAGGTCAGAGGATGCATCTCCCTTGTCTTCAGGAATCTGTAGTGGGAAGGATTCAGGGGAGATTTTGAGCAAGTGACCCTGGTGGGGTGGAACTTTTATTCGGTTCTAGTCAAATCTATAGGTAGCATCAGTCTTCCCAGAATCAGGGCTGGTATAGTTCAACGCCATGTATACATTGAGAAGATGAAAGTTCACATGTTCAGATGTATAGTGCCCTGAAGTTCATTCATTGTTGGATGGAGGAAGGAGAACAAAGATACACCATATCTCCTCTTGATTATCTATGTTGTTGGAGACGACCAGTGGCCTAGCTCAGTACAAAACCTACTGTTAGGCTCAAGTTTTCTAGTTCCATTGTAAAGAAGCCAGGTCAAGTGGACATGGCCAACCTCTTTGATGGCTTTGATGGGCAAGGGCCTTGGGGGATGGGTAAAAGAGCCCTGACTCAATGGCCTGATGACCTGGGTCTTGGCACTGTCACTTATGGTGTGACCTTGGGGATGCCACTTCTTTCTCTGCCTCTGTTTTTCTATTCTGTAATTTGAGGGAGTATGGATGAAATGAACTTTAAGGTCTCATGTATCTCTAGAAATCTGCAATTCTGTTTGGCCCTGCAGTGTGAGGAGATGAAAGCCACTGTGACCCTGCAGGGAGAGAATCTCCGGAGAACCAAGGAGGAGATCAATGAGCTGAACCGCATGATCCAGAGGCTGACCGCCGAGGTGCAGAATGCCAAGCAGCAGGTCAGAGGGGGACAGTACAGAGGGCAGGAGGGAAGGGTGTGGGGCACCAAGGGGTGGTATCCTTCATCAGCTCTAGCTCCTTACATCTTCTGACCTATATTCAGGTCAAGGAGTGACTGCAGTGCCAGTGCGTTGCCGAGGCTGGCTTCTCCTGCCCCCCAAAATGGTGGTGCTATGTCCCCACTATGCCTCATTGGTCAGGACATGTTCAGAAAAAAGCAAGATCATTTTAGTTCTCCTCTTCCTTCTTCCCATAGCGCTGCAAGCTGGAGTCAGCGGTGTCAGAGTCAGAGCAGCAGGGCGAGGCAGCTCTGAATGATGCCAAGTGCAAGCTGGCGGAGCTGGAGGAGGCGCTGCAGAAAGCCAAGCAGGACATGGCCTGCCAGCTGCGGGAGTACCAGGAGCTGAAGAACGTCAAGCTGGGGCTAGATGTGGAAATTGCCACCTACAGGAAGCTGCTGGAAGGAGAGGAGAGCAGGTGGGAGCAAGGTCAAGGGGCACCCAGCAATTCTTCTCCAAGATGGAATCCTAGAAGGTCAGAGCTGAAAAGGACCTCAGAGATAATCTTCTAGTCAAACCACTTCATTTCATAAAGGAGAAAGTGGAAGCCCAGGGAGGGAGAAGCCATATAGCTAGTTAGTGACAGGGTCCTTACTATTTTCCAGTTCTCCAGTGTACTTTCTGAGAAATGAGATAATATTTGTAAAGTGCTTAGTACAGAGCTTGGCACATAGAAACCATGTAATAAATGTTCATTTCCTTCCTTCCTTTCTCACACTAAGGCAAAAGCCTGGCGACCTCATTTAGGAATGGAATTCCTTCCAGGATCATAGGATTTAGGGCTGTAAAAAGCATTAGCCATCATCTAGTCTAGCCCCCTTGTTATATAAAAGAAGAAACTGAGTTCCAGGAAGGGGAATTTACTTGTCCAAAGTCACAAGGCTAGTAAGCAGCAAGCCAGGATTGGAGCCCAGGTCTTCACTGACCCAGGATGCTTTTCCATCAGAGTCAGCATAAGCTAAAGTTCTGCACCATCCTCCCTACTCCCCCCATCCAATCTTGTGATTTCATGAAATTAGGGAACTCCCAGTGTGGGAACTTCCTCATCCTAAACCTGTGATTTCATGAGAGTAGGGAACCCCCAGTAAGAGAGCTTCTTCTGATGAAGCAGAGCTACAATTCTGCCATAATCAACAGTCTTACAGAGTTGTCTACTGGCACTGAGAGGGTAAGTGATTTGCCCATGGTCATATAACTACTGTTTGTTAGAGGCAGGATTTGAACCAAGGTCTTCATGATTCCAAGGCTGACCCTCTCTATCCATCACTCCACATTGCCTCTCTAGGAACCTGAATTAGCTAAAACTTTGTTACACTCAACTGGATATGGCCAAACTTGCACTCAAATGATGGAAACAGAGCAGAGCAAGGCAGATTTGCAGCTGGGAGGGAGACCAAGTGCACATAAATTTAATAACTCTTCATCCAAGCCAATTTCTTGACCTTTCCAGTATGAGCAACCTTAAGCCATGACACCAATTGCATCCAAGGAAATATTTCCAATATATTTACTCCCCCATTGAAATAAGATTCAGTCTACCTATCCATCTTGTATCCACATTCCCATTCTCCACCCCCTACAACTTTTTCCCTTTGAGAGCTAGAATGGGAAGAGAACTCAGAGAGAGGAAGAGGCCTTGACCTTGCCCTCAAGATGCTTCCAGATTGATGTGGGGGAGACGTGAATAAGCATTTATATAGTGTCTACTATGTGACAGGTACTGTGTTAAACTACCGTGCTACAATTACTATCTCATTTGATCCTCACATCCTGAGTAACAATCCTGAAAAGTAGGTGCTATTATTATTCCATTTTATAGTTGAGGAAACTAAGGCAAACTAAGTGACTTGCCCAGGATCACACAGCTATTAAGTGTTTGAGGACAGATTAGAACTCAGGTCTTCCTTCCTCCAGGCCCAGTGCCCAGTGCCCAGTGCCCAGTGCCCAGTGCTCTGTCTACTGAGCCACTGGCTGCTTTCTTGGTTAGGACAGGCAGGGCACATGTCTAGGAAACTGGACAGACTTAGGGACAGAAAATAAATGACAATGAATGCAGGTCTTTATCAATATAGGTTAGCCTTTATTATTTGAACTTTGAAAATTCTTAAAAAGAAGTTTCTAAAGTAGGGGACATTCTAAGCCACATGGTTCAGTAAAAGAAGCATTAATCTTCACCTTAGAGAAGTGGATGTCATGGGACTTAGAGGTGAAAGGGATTTAAGAGGTCTTCTTGTCCAATTTCTTCATTTTACAAATGAGGAAACTGAGGCTGAGAAAGGTGATGCAACTTGCCCAAGGTCATATAGATAAGGAAATCACAATGCTAGGATTTGAACCCAGGTCCTGTAACTCCAAATCCCATAAAGTACACCATAATGGCTCCTTTTAGGATGCTCATCTGGCTCTTGACCTTGAGGGAGCTATTCAACTACTCTTGATTTCTTCTTCCTCCTCTGTGAAAGAAGGTGAGGGGCTGGAAAAAAAAATGATCTGTTCCTTTCTGGACTCAAGTCCCATCATTTGTTGTGGAAATACCTACTCCCTCCACGGTGGGCTTCCTCTTGTTCATTTCCTATTGTGTATTTCAGATGATCCTTACTTGTACTGCATCTGCCCCACTTGGGTCCCTTTCATTTCTCATGTAGGGCCTCCACCTCACTTCAGTGGGGAAGTTGTTGTACCCTGCCCCAGCTGGATCCCTAGAATGGAATAGGGTGTAGAGGAGGAGCGAGCAGCCTGTTTTCTCTCCCACCAGGCTTTAGGGAATGGGGTTTATTAGGAGCCCTGTAAGTTCACTCAGCTGAGGCTTTGCTTGTGTTTTTTCCGTAGACCAAGGGTTCTTGATCTTCTTTGTGGACCCTTTTGCCAATATGGTGAAGTCTATAGATCCCCTTTCACAATAATTTTTTTAAAATTCACAATAAAAAGAAATATCTAATTTCAATTAAAGGTTAATGAAATGAGGATGTAATTCCCCTCCTCCCCCCATACAAATACACAGATCTCATGACATCTATCCATGGCGTGGCAGTGTCCTGCTGGATTCCTACTATGAATTCCAGGTCTCTAAAAGTCTCTGCTTCAGACTTTTAAGAAAGAAGAAAGGAAGCATCTATTAAGCACCTACTATGTGCCGGGCACTGTGCTAAGTGTTTTATAAATATTTATAATATAATTCACATTAAAACATCACATTAATATTATAATACAACATTATAATATAATAAATATATAAATTATATAGGTATACAATATTATATTAATATAATAAATTATAGAATATGTTATATTGATATAATAATATATTATAATATGATTTATAAATATCAAATGAGATACACTTGATCCTCACAGCAACCCTGGGAGGTAGGTGATATTATTATCCTCATTTTACAGAGGCAGAGGGATTAAGTGACTCACTCAGGGTCACAAAGCTAGTCAGGTCTTCCTGACTCTAGGCCCTGTGCTCCATCCACTGTTCCACCTAGTCGCCTAAGACAAAGGTCAAACCACCTACAATCCTTTGCATTCACATCAAACTGTATTTTCCTCCTCACTTTCCTTTATCTCCATGGTTTTCACAGGCTTTTCATATACAGTACTGAATGAACATCTTGGAACTAGAAGGAACCTTGGAAGACTTCTAGGAAATGACTTGCCCAAGGTCACACAGACTGTAAATGACAGAGCCAGGATGTAGACCCTGGCCCTCTGATTCTACACCCAAGCTTTTCCCACTATACTATAATTGTCTCTCTAGTCCAATTTCTCTATTTTGAAAAAAACTGAGGCCTAGAAAGGGAAAGTGATTTGTCTTAAGTCCCAAAGCTATATAGGGACTCCCCAAGCCTTACTGATAGAATGAAAACTTCTTAAAGGCAGGGTCTGTTTTTCATTTTTGCTTCTGTATCTCTTATCACCTAATACAGTGCTTTGGATATAGTTGGTATCCAATAATCATAAGTAAATGTTTATTGAATTTAGTTGCTGGCAAGGTGTTGGGAGAGGCAGCCCTCTGATGTCTTCTGTGCCACCCTTACTACTCCTTGCCTGTTAAAATGCCAGAGGAGAATATGGCACAGCAATGGAGTACAACTACTTCCTTGGGGATAAATACTCATCCTACCTTCTCTCTCTTGCCCAAAATTAAACTCACGGCTTCAGAGGAGACGCAGAGAACCTCAGTGTCACTAAAAATAGAGATTCCATTTCTAACCTTGTTCTCTCTCCTTTTCTGGACAGGTTGTGCGAGGGTGTTGGCTCAATCAACATATGTAAGTATTTTATATGCCTTCCCACATTGCAGTAATGTTCTAAATGGGGCCATGTCTATGGTTGTTATCCAAGTGCCCAATGGGAGGGAGGAGAGGAAGAAGGAAGGGAGAACTGGAAAGGAATCTTCAGTTACTTTGCTTCTGATTCCAGTTTCAGAGTTGAGGGACCTATTTCAATCAGATTATTACAAACCCTATTCACCTGCTTGGTGCTGGGACCCAGGCATAATATGCATGGATGCATGTGAGGCTTAACAAACTTACAGCATATTTTCAAGAGCTTCTGACCCAAACTCTTTGGATTTCTGACATGAACTCTTGATTATCTATTGTAGGGAATACACATTGTAACCCATAGCAAAGTTTCGTTTTTACTGAATAATTGACACACTATACTATATTACTATAATTTACACTTATGAATAATTTATACATGCTTTTAAGTTTACAAAGTACTTTTCACACATTCTCTTAATTGAACCTCAAAAGAACCTTGTAAGGTAAGAACTACAAGTGTTATGATGCCCATTTTAGAAATGAAATAATTGAGATTCACAAACAAAATAACTTGCCCGTGGTCACAGAGCTAGTAGCAAAGGTCAGATTTGAACTCAGGTCTTCCTGACTCCAAATCGAGCTCTCTACTAACTTTGTCATACTGGGCTTCTCTTGCCATAGTCTCTTCGCCTTTACCTCTACCCCTATCCCTGATATCCTCCCAGGTTACCATCCACTAAGATCTGTCAATAAGAACACTGGTATTGTGATGTATGGTCATGTTAATAGGATATGATAATACCTAATTTAAAATCAGAGGCAGCTGTCATTTAGTGGATAAAATGTTGGCCTCAGGTTCAAGACACATACTGGCTGTGGGACCCTAACTTCTAAGTGCTCTAGGGAATTCTCCAAGAATTCAAGTTGGAAAGAAGGTGTCACCTGCAGTAGAGGGATTTCCTCATCTGGGAGTTTCTCCAGGTCCAGTCCTTATTAATATCAAACTGTACTCAATGTAATTAGGAAGCTGAATCTTTTGTCTCCCAAATTAAGGAATTTATCTCCCCAAATCTGATAGAAAAGTTACTTTAGGGCCATTTGTTGCTTTGATCTATCAATGTTACCGTCCCATTGGGAAGAGAACTGATCACTGACTGTAAAACATGTCGAGTCGAAATCTTCTCTGCAAGAGAAACAGGCTGAGAAATCTGATGCAATGTCTTTGTCCACAGGTGTGAGCCGCTCCCAGGGGGGCGTGGTCTGTGGAGAGCTCCACCCTGCTGTCATCTCTCGAGGGACAGGGTCTGTGGGTGTCAGCTCCAGTGCTGGTGGGATCTGCTCCCCATCGGGGGGCGTTGGCTGTGCCAGCGCTAGGTCTGTCAGGTTTGCATAGGGAGGAGCCTGATTTGGACCGAAGGGTCTTGAAGAAAAGGGGACTTTGACCGTTTCAGGTCAGAGCATCTGTTTCATAAAGCACCCCAGCTGAGGACCCTCAGTTATCTCTCCAATGCTAAGCACAGTGGAAAAGAGCCCTGGCTTGGGAGTCAGAGGGCCTGTCTTCAAACTCCCACCGCAGTGTTTACTACCTGTGAGACCTTGAGCAAGTTACTTATAGCTAGCATTTAAATCACTTCATCCCCTGGGGTATTAGTTTCCTCATCTGTAAAAGGAGGGGGTGGGAATCAATGGCCTTTGAGGAAACTTGATGGATCTGTGATCTTTTTACCTCTCTGTTGATTTTATTTACTTTTGTTTATCTTAATCTTTGATTGGTGTTATTTGATTGAATATTTGGTTGATGTTAGTTGGCTCCCACAGGTAGGGACCTGGATAGGAGGACCTTGGACAGAACACCACCTCTAAGTTTTCTTTCCTAGGTGTCTGGAAGTTGTGAATCATGTAAAATGATGCTTTCATGCTAAACATTCTGGTCCATCAGTCCAGCCATTCAGGCCCAAGAAGTTAACTGCTCTTGCTTGGGCTGGGAGGTCCAAATCACTGCCTTTGACTAATTGGCAGATCATTTGAGCAACCAAGGATCATCCTATAGGTACTAGGGAAGATACATTCCAACCTCTACAAAGAAGAGAGCACACAGAAGGAGCGGGGCACAGTTCTTCGGAGATCAAATTTAGGTAGAGCAGATCCTTTCTGGAATTTTTGTTGAGCCTTAGACGGTGGTTGGGCATTTGCCTGCTACTGAACTTCTCTGCTCCTCCTCCTTTTATCCTTCCCCCCATCTTTCGAGTAGTCTCACTCCTAACTCCAGTCACCAATGACATCGCCGGTCCTTGAGATATTCCACCCAGAATAGCCCTTTGGGTAGAAGTGCCAGCCTGATACAAGAGATCACATGGACGTACATTCACTTTTTTCTCTAAGACCCTTTGTAGGATCATAGATTCAGAGATGAAAGATGGCCTCAGGGGCCATCTAGCCCAAGTGGCGGATGCTGAGGGACAAAAAGTCACTTGGGGAAACCGAGGCTCTGAGATAGTGAGATATTTTCTCATGGTCAGGAAATATAACTAGGACCCATTTCAAGGTCTGTGACTCCATGTCTAGTGTTCATCTCGCTATACCAGGTTGAAGATATATTTAGAAACAGTTTCTGGCCGTTGCTTCTCTATTCACTTGTACTAAGAGGCCTCTATGTTCATCTCATGGATCAATTTGGAATCAAGGATTTTAAAAATGTTTTGCCCTTTCCCTCCTCTCCATCACTGACAAAATGGAAGACATCCAACTCTAAGTATACTGGGAGCAATACTTTCTATCCACAGACAAATATGGCAGTCACTAGGTCATGTTGTACATAGCAGCAGCTGCCCACGCTTGGTTCATTTCCCTGCTTTTCGTAACCTACAGGGAAGTAGGCTGCCACCTGATCAATTAGTTAATTAACTAGCAAGGGGATGTAGTACATAATTTTGCCACCACATGATTCTACCCTGAGTCCACCCAAATAGTTTCATCAGAAGTTAGCTAAATGCGGGGCAGCTAGGTGGCGCAGTGGATAGAGCACCGGCCCTGAAGTCAGGAGGACCTGAGTTCAACTCCGGTCTCAGACCAAACACTTGACACTTACTAGCTGTGTGACCCCTGGGCAAGTCACTTAACCCCAATTGCCAAAAAAAAAAAAAAATAAGTTAGCCAAATGCCCATGTGTTAGCTTTCCCAAAAGCTGTAGTATCCTCACTGACCAGCAGAGGGCTTCAGCCTGATTACTGTTGTCTCACCTACTTGAGCTTCCAGCAATTGCACGATGGCAAAGGCCCTGGGTTCAATACAGATCTAGGAGCATACTATACAAGAAACTCCAACACTACTAAAACAGTAAAAAATATCATCTCTGTCCTTGAGCTCCTATCCCATATTTGTATAATATCCCTCTATTTGACCGATTTTTATATTATCATTTAACACAAGCAATCTATAATGCAGTCACATTCATTTCATTATTCGGAACAAACAAAAGTCAAACTGTCTTCAACCGTTTCTGGAAACAACTGTAACATTCTCCAGCTCTCCTTCCTGCTTTCATTGGGTGGTAAATGAATCAGGGGTGGGAGTTACACATCTAAGACCCTTTTGAGGGAGCAGGGGCCTAAATCAACTGGGACAAGGAAAGTGAGAGAGGAGAGAGTTTGTCCTTCTCACCTCTTTGCCAGCTGATACTGCTCAGAAGCTGTTAGTCAGGTACCCTGGATATCATCTCTGCTACAGACTGTCTCATCCCACAACACCAACACCCTGTAGTCCTACACAGCAGATTGAATCTCTGTCTGTTCTAGGTCTGGCTCTCAACTCTTGAACTCTCTGAGAAGGTTGGGTCACTGCTACAGCCAGCAGGAGCATCATCTGAAAATATCAGTCTGAGCACAGCAGCCATTGGCTTCTGCGGCCAGCATAGCATGGACCATATGACCTCTGTCCTTTTCTCTTTTTGTAGCCTGAAACTTGTGACTGAACAGAAATCTTTTCCAAGAACAAGAGAAACTTGGAGATTTGTGAGATGTTGTACAGCCACCTATAACTTTTCTTGGTAGCTTGCTGATTTCCTCCCCCAACATCACTTCCTCAAGGGGGAAGAGTCCTTAGGAATACCCAGATGCAAAATCTTTTGAGCAACTCTCTCCTAGGACAGATGGTTCTAAAATGGTATCTCCTAGCCACCACGATTGGGGTCTGTATTGTGTGATGTGAGACATTACACAGCCCTCCAATCTGTGTATCTGATTCACTTCAGTGAGCGTAGACTGTCCTCTGAAAGATTGTCCTTGGGTCATAGTGCATCCCCACCCCCAGCCCCATTCCTGGATAAAATGGTGACGTATTCCCCATCTTCCCCATCAATATTTTTAAGCAAATGAAATCAAGTTTCAGCTAATGAAAGGAGAATTGATGGGAAAAGTAGCAAAAAGGGCTTATCTTAGAAATTATAAAGGATTCAAGCTGGAGAGAACCTTCTAAATAGAACAGAATAGAATAGAAGCTCCAACATTACTAAAATAGTAAAAAAAACTTCACCTCTATTCCTGAGTTTCCACGCCATATTTGTGTGATTTCCCTGAAGTCAAGCCTAGCCTCTTTACTTTATAGATGAGGTCACTGAAGCCCCAAGTGATGAAGTGACTTGCCCCAGGTCACCCAGCTAATTAGCAGCTGAGCTGGAACTCTAAGGTATGTTGTTTCCAATTCAGGGCTCTTTCCACAACATGGTTTTATCAGCCATTATCTGGTCCAGGCCCCTCATTTTAGAAATGTGGGAAATGATGTTCAAAGATGGGAAAGGACTTGCTTCACTTCACACAGCTGTTTCTCACAGCTTGGCGATGATAGTGGGAGGGAAATGGGTAGTTACCAGCTGATCATATCAATGAATCCTCAAGTCTCTTTGTTTTTAGGATTGGTTTTTTCCTTGTTCATTATCTCTAGCTATCTAAGGCCACCTCTTTTTCCTACTTTCGTTGCCTAACCACCTGCTTCTCTATAGCCCTATAGCATGGCACCCCAAGCAGAGGGCCTAGGGAGACTTCTCTAGTAAGTTGTACTCAAGGTGGTCTTGAATTATTGGTCACATTCTGGAGTTCGCAACAGTAAGAGAGACACAGGAAGGAACTATAATGGTTAAAGTCAATGAGGTTCTGGGATTAAGAAAGATGAGAAACATCACAATTCATTTCTTCCTCCAGACCATAAATCGAGGCTTGATATTTAAATAAGGTTGGGGAGGGCAGCTCCTTCGGCCTCTATGTAGGTTGTATTTAGCTCAGTTGGTAGTGCTTGCTTAGTACTTGGGGCTTCAAAGGAAAAAGGATTCTTAGCTATAAGTAGAGCTCTGTTCATCATGTAAATAGGGGTTTATTCAAATGAGGTATATCTCTGTTTTGTTCACCTGTATCTTCTAGGACCACTCACCTACACAATTTGTTGTTTGGGGCTATTGCTCCTTGAGTATTTGTTAGCTACTTTTTGAAGTCTTGTGTTTCTCTTTTGTAAATTCCTCTCAATAAAACTTTGTCTTTTGGTTAGCTTTGGCTCTTAGCATTTAAATTTTTACTTCTCTTCAAAGGAAATGCTGTTGCCATGAGAAACTGCCCTGGAAGCGAGGAAGCACCTCAGAGATGCCAGTTGTCTATCATAAGGAAAACTGGCTGAGAGAATGGGAATGATTCATCACCAGCTAGTTGTAATTATTGGAAAACAGCTTGAGACACATAGCAGCCTCAGATTGGTAATGAAGGATAGACTTGAAAAAAAAAACACAACCAAATAATAAATAACCCCTAATCCAACTGCTGAGGTTTAGAGGCTTGGGATGCTAAGATCCTGAAATAATGACACTCAGGTCCTGCCTGAATGAATTCGACCCAAACCTTCTTTCAGTCAAAGACAAGATTAAAGATCCACCATATTGGCCAGACTCTTAAGGAATCTGAACATTTGTGATGCTCATATTGACAAATGGGCTAGACTGAATCTCAGCCATTGGCTAGATTTTAAGAACCTTAATGGAGACAAGATGGACCCTATATACAGAAAGACTGTGGGAGGGATCTAGAAGTTTGAGATGAATGTGAGAAGGGGTCTAATGAAGATCTGGATGGGAGTGGCCAGTAAGCTGGGATGACTGTGAGGTAACAGAAAAGGATCAGGTGAACACCAGGAATCTAGACCAGGTAGCCAAAGGAGAATGGGGTCTAGATGGTATCAAGGGTGGGAAAGTAACAGACAAAGAAGGGCTGGGTGGGTCAGAGGTAACAGAATTAAGAGATTGGGCATAGCCAACATGAAAGACCAGTTGAATGGAATAACTGGGATGATGTCTCAGGCTAACCGCTAGAGACTTACTTGATCAAGTGGGAAATTTCAAGGAGGGTTCAAGGAGGGGGTTTCCATTCCCCCCTCAAACAAATGGGACCCAAATTCTTATGGGATAAGGGGCAAAGGTCTTGGCTTGGGCCCATACCCCATCACTGCTTTTTAGGCACAATGTTTCCCAATCAGTTTTACCTGTATTTAACCAAGGCAGATTTATACCAACTACTTAAGAAAGATTTAGTGGTAGCTAACTGGCATAGTGGGTTAAGCATTGGACTTGGAGTCAGGAAAACCTGAGTTTGAACTGAACACTTATCAGCTGTGTGACCCTAAGCCTCAATTTCCTCATCTGTAAAATAAAGATAATAATAGCACCTACTTCCCAAGGTTGTTGGGAGGATCAATGTAAACCCTAAAGTGCTACATAAATCTTAGTTATTATTAGGAAATCTATAATCATAGAACTGAAAGGGAAGATTATCTAATCTAGAGCCTTCATTCTACTAAAGAAACTGAGGCTCAGGGAGGTCAACTGACTTGCCCAGAATCACACAGTCATCTGAAATTTACTACTAGGACCAGGATCTAGATCTTCCCATTCTTAGTCTACTAACTTTTTTTTTTCCACTCTAGGACACTGGAATTCCCTTGGGGTACAATTTTTGCAATGTCATGGGAAAGTGGGAGTTTGAAATTAGAAATTTTCTGGAGTTGAAAGTTGACTGTATTGTCATTGAAGCTTATTAGATTATTGAAATTTTTAAGATAAAAAAAAAAGATAGGGAGGGGAGGAAACCTGGTATGAATTCAGAACTCACTACAATCCTATGATCATAGATTTCAAGCTGAAATAGACCATAGAGATCAGTTAGTCTAACCTTCTCATTTTATGGAAAAGGAAACTGAAGTCCAGAGAGATTCAGTGATCTTCCCAGGGTAATATGGTTAACCAGGATCAGAGACAGGATTTGAACTCAGCCCATCCTGACTCCAATCTCAGCACACAGACTATTATATCATATGAAAATACCAGAATCTTTGAGATGAATCTTCAGCAATCACTTAATCCAATAACCCCATTTAAAGATGAGGAAACTGAGTCCCAGAGAAGAGAGGTGATTTGTCCATCTTCACAGAACTTGTGAGGGGCTCATTCAGTCCAACATTACATTCCATCTTTTAAAAAAAGGAGTTCAAGAGGACAAAAAGATTGTCATTTGGTGTCAGGCTTCAAACCCTCTCAGACAATACAACAACCCCAGTGGCTATCAAACCCTCGGGACTAACAACAGAATGGGTTTCACCTTCTCTCAGTCAAAGGAACCTGGAAGGTATCTATGAGCCAATCAACAAACATTTGTTAAGCACTTTACTATGTACCGGTCACTGTGAAGAGTGCTGGTGACACAAAGAAAAAGCATGATTTGTCCCTGTCCCCAGGGTGTTTGCATTCTATTAGGGGAGACATGTACATACGTGATTATAAACAAAATACAAAGTAGATGGAGGGTAATCTCAGAGGGGAAGGCACTAGCTTCTGAGTGGACATGGAAAGATCCCTCACTGAAGCTGGTGCTTCTGTTGAGTCTTGAAGGAAGCCAGGAAGAGATAGTAACAGGGAAAAGAAATTAGAGGGAGAAAATTGCCTGGCAAATGTTGATATCATTGAGGAAAGGAACCATTGTGGCAGGAAACTGGAGAGCAGAGCATATCTTTTATATATTTGCCCACCCTTG